ATCCTTAGTTTCACATTGTGGAATCATCCTCATCAAATTTATTCCTGATTCTTGCCTTTAAATCACTTTCGAGGGATGAAGATTGATTTGAACACTGGTATGGTGATGTTATTACCCACTCGCTTAATGCGGGGCCTGAATAGACGATGGCACTGGGTAGAATGCCTGAACCATGGGAAGGCGATCTACCAAAAAACCTTCGTTTTCTAAAATTCAGTCGTATAATCCTGCCGCTTTTTTGTTTTTGCCGTAGATATAGGCTGACTTCCTCAATTGTGACACTAGTAAGTGGATCGGCATTTTTTACAAGTACTTGGGGTGGAAGTACTCACGAATTCTAGATTAGAGATTTCGTTCAAATGCTATCAACAACAAAATTGTACCTTTCGATTACACTCAATCCGCTGTCCTTTATGATAAGCACATGTAATGCTCATACATACTCTTGCGCTGATGGTGCCCGCCCTCCTCTTCACACACTTACATATTTGCTCCCATCTCTGCGCTTGTCATACTTGGATACAGCCTTCCTTTTTTCACTCTTCTTTCCGCCCAAAGCCCCCATTGCTTTCTACTTGCTGTTGGCTTGGCTCCGAAAAGGCTTGGCACCGCCTTGTGCAGAGCTTCCTACTGATACTACGGAGCCGCCAGTATATTGGCCTGAGATGTCCCTTTTTTATATTATATTAGGAATTGTTCTGACATATGGACCTAACGATTCTAGCATAGCTGATGATGAAAGCCCCCAAGGTAGCATTCCAGTGTTTGAGGATGATTCTGGTATTCGGTTTTTCATTGATGACCAGAAAGCCGGCAGCGGCAGGCTTCTTCGCTTCCGTTTACTCCGCACCTGAAGCTTGCTCAGACGTGAATTCAATGCGAACCCCAGCAAAATTCTCGCTTTAGAGTCTCGGCAACCCCCGAAGAAGTTTACAAAGTTCTGAAGTCTTCAAGGACTCATGTTCAATTCCATTTGGCGGTATACTTCAACTTGTGTATAAGAAATGCGCTTCTTCGTTATACAGAACTGTGTGTAAGATTCTAGACGCGTCAGTGATGTTTGGTGAAGTACCTACTCGGTGGAAGAGATCTATCATACACAAAGTTCCGCATACAAGTCTGTTCCGTCCTATCAGCATTACTTCCTCAATAGCTAAAGCCTCAGAAAGTTGATGCGTGATAAACTTGTGGAACATTTGAGTAAGCACAGGTTAATCCCTACTGACGATGAGCAACACGGCTTCATTGCGGGTGCGTCCACTAGCACTCAGTTTTCGATTGGAGTTTGGCTATGAACAGAGGCAATGGCGTGGACATAATCTATTTTGATTTATCGAAAGCTTTCGATAAGGTAAATCACCAGAAGCTCCTTGTGAAATTGTACCAGATGGGTGTTAGTGGACCCTTCCTCAGTCGGATTTGCTCTTACTTGAGCGTAAGATTTATGAGTGTGAAAGGGGGTGTTATCCCCCTTCTTATTTCTAGTGTACACATATGACTTGCCTGCTCGACTTTCAACTCATCCCATGGTCAGTGTCCATATGTACGTCCATATGGCGTTTATCGTGAAGAAACTTATGAAGGTGTTCGCCACGCCTTAACCCG